TCAAAACACTCCTAATTTTAAGGGTATTTTTGTAAGTACCCCAAAATTATTTTGGGTTGAAGTTGTTAAAACTGATGTATATCTTGTTAATAAAAGCCCTACTAAAGCTTTAAATTCTGAAGTACCTGAATTTGTTTGGTCTTATGATTCCGTGAATTATTCTCATTTAAACGTGTTTGGTTATGCTACATATACTCATCAAAACATTGGAAAATTAGAAATTATATCACGTAAATGTGTTTTCTTGGGTAATGATGAACATGCTAAAGGCTACAGATCGTAGGTTAAATGTGAAAAGGGGTATAGAGTTATTGTTAGAAAAAATGTTGTTTTCAATGAATCTTTAATGTCATGTTTAGAAGGAAAAGAAAATGTTTTGATTGATAAAGATGTTCAAATTGAGGTAAAGAGCATCCTCAAACTGAGCAAGAGACTCCTATACCTTTAGTAAATGAAATTGGTCTTGAACCTGAAATTAAAAACGATCAAGAAATTGATCAACCTTACCAATCTGATCCTACTTCTCTCCATTTTAATGAGTATCAACTCACAAGAGATAGAGAGAGAAGACATATCAGACCTTTTACTAGATTTGAGAGTGATGATTTTATTTCCCTTTTCACTTATCAAGAACAATTTGAAAATGAGCCAAACACCAATGAGAATGCCATTAAGCGTAAAGAAAGTAAAAATTGGATAACAGTCATGGAAGATGAAATGTCTTCACTTTTGAAAAACAAGACTTGAGAACTTGTTAAAAGGGCATAAATGGATTGACTGTAAGTGGATCTATAAAATAAAACAACGGAAAGAAGATGGTAAAAACATTAGATATAAAGTTAGACTTGTTGCAAAAAGCTTTACCCAAAAAGAAGGAATTGATTACACTGAAATTTTTCTCATGTTGTGAAATATACTACTGTTAGATGTTTGCTTGCTCTTGTTGCTCAATTTAAATGGGAAATTGATCAATTGGATGTTAAAACTGCTTTCTTGTATGGTGATTTAGATGAAATTATTTACATGAAACAGTTTATTGGTTTTGAAATTAAAGATCTTGAAAATATTGTTTGTCTATTAAAAAATCATTATATGGTTTAAAACAAGCTTCTAGACAATGGTATAAGAGATTTGATATATTTGTTCTAAAATTTGGTTTTAAAAGAAGTCAATATGATAATTGTCTCTACTGTAAAGGTGATGGAGGTAAAAATTCTCTGTATCTAGTTCTCTATGTGGATATAAATTGCTTACAGTTGTGAGAAATCTGAAATTTATGATATTAAATTGAAATTGAAGTCTAAATTTGAAATGACGGAGCTTGGTTTTGCTAGAAAGATATTAGGCATGCAGATTTAGAGAAATAAAGAGAAAGATTTGTTATTTTTGAATCAACATGATTATGTGATTAAAATTTTGAAAAAAAATTAACAAACAAGACTGTAAAACTGTAGCATTTCCTCTTGCTAATCATTTTAATCTATCTTCTGAATATTGTCCAAAGTTTGATGAAGAATATGCTAGAATATCTAAAGTTCCTTGTGTTAATACTATTGGTTCTGTTATGTATTTGATGATTTGTACCGGACTTGATCATGCATTTAGTATTATCATATTGAGCAAATTTATGAGTAACCTTTAAAATGGTTATGTAGATATCTTGAAGGCACACCTGACTATGGTTTAATGTTTAAATCAACTAAAAATGGTATAACTTTAAAAGGATATACTGATTCTGATTTTGTTGGAGATAGAGATAATAGGAGATCAACTTCATCCTTTTTCTATACCTTATGTGGTACAGCTGTTAACTAAAAATCACAACTTCAAAAAGTTGTTCCTCTATCTTCAACAGAAGCAGAATATATTGCTGCTACTGATGCTGTGAAAGAAGGAATTTTGAAATGTTTATCTATTGATTCTTTGTAATACATGTATAGGTACTTAAAGCAAATGAAAAGTGATTGAGATTATGCTCAGGTCTACACTATATCCCAAATTTTGGTAGTCAGGTGGAGAATGTGGGATTCAAACCCGGTTCGAATAGTGCTCCCATAATTTGTGAAATCGTGCTTTTTGGGTGTTGCAACTTTATTAAAATGCACATTTAACCGCATTGCGACACATGTTTTGATCTGCACTGCTGGATCAGTTTCTGGAGACTTCTACCCTTATATGCATTTTCATTTGGCATTTGTCTGCTGGGGTTTGATTCTTTTTCTCTTTAGGTTACACCGTTTGAAGGGGATTCTCAGGTTTTGGTTCTCTCTTCTCATTCTTCCCAAATTACTGATTTGAGATTGTTGATATGTAATAGTTAACCTCTGTGTAGTCATATTCTGAGTGAATATCCGTGAAAAGGTTTGTGTTCTTTCATGTTGCTGTTTCTAAGGTTTTGAACAGATTCTTTGTGAATCTTGTGGATCTACTATTGTATATAGAGAGATAAGTGTTCTTTTCTATTCTCAGTGATTTGACTGAATATTTTGTAACATTTGTTGTCATTTTGGGCTATATAGTGGAATCGAACACAAATCCAATATATTGGATGCTCAACGAGGGATGTAGACATTAGAAGTAGTCGCCGAACCTGCGAGGCTTAGGCCAAAAGAAATCGGTTGTGTTTTCTTTAATTTTCTGCACTTTATTTTTGAAAAGATCATTGTATCTCTGTTTCTCAATTTAAAATTGTGTTTCTGGCCTTACAACACACACACACACACACACACACTTATCAACTTTAGTTAAAACTAGTTCTAATTTGGATCACAGAATTTCGAGTTTTCATTCCCAACATAACTCTTCAATTTAACAAATTGTGAAGGTCAACAAAATAGAAAAGCTATAGAAAACTCTCTTGAGCAAATAATCTCGATTTCCATCATTGAAAACTGACTCATTAAAAATCATCAAAATCTTGATATCGAAGACAACAGTCACGAATTAAAGTGATAGTAGAAACAATGATTTGAGCTTGGTGATCATCATGAAGT